CCAGACATCAAAACCACAAGAAGCGCTGTTGTACTGCTGCTGTAGACATTATTTATTTACCATTTTGCGGCCCAGCAAGTCTTAATTATATCAACGAGACGCTTCAATCGGGGTAACTTATTGATCTGAACTGCTGTTCGGGAGCTTTCGATTCTTGAACCAGTACGTTTGAGCTATTCAGCCAATAGAAAAGAAAAAAGACGTTCAGAAGGAAGATATAACATAGCGAATAAAGAGCGTAAAACCGTCTATAGAACCCAACAAAACGGTTCGAATAGCCAGAAAAGAAAAGAACCGCTTACCCATGACGATCACTAGACCGTAATATGGTTGACTGAGTACTAATAGAAGTTTTACAGCACTCTGAACACAATTTGGTCTTGTCTGTACCAAAAGCCGATGTACTATCATCGGCTTATCTAACTATATCAAAAAGACAAACGTGAAATCTTCAGTAAATGCATCATGGGTATACCAGAATTGACACGCCAATTCGCCAATCGTCGCCGTGAAAGGTAAACAATTCTGGCTCGTTTTATGGGCGAATATATACAGTGCAGAGAACAGACTGAAGATGTTTATTTGATAACACTGACGGATATAAAAAAAACACAACCCTTTCAGACCTGGTCTCGTTCCTTCGATATTCAATAGAGTAAGACTCATAAACCAAGACAAATCTTCTTGAGATTATTTTTTTGGTGGTGGGGTCGATTTTTCAAAGGACTTTTTTGTCGTTCTGTGTTGGTCTGTCACTTCTCTCTGGGTACTCCACCTGAAATTGTGCTCCGCCTTTTACACCAGAGTGAAATTCAATTAATCCAAACTCTTGTCTTTTCAATTGTCTATCCAATTGTCTGCCTTGTCTCGCTGTAGTGGTCCGTATATAACATGCTGCTAAAGAATCCTCTTAGTTTAGTTTCAGTAAGAGTTTTACTGCACTGGCAACACAAGTAGGCTATATCAGTGCCAAAGATTGGAGTTGCCACAAGAGAGTAACGTACATATAATATTATAAATAAGGGGGAGGAGGAGGAGGAGGAGGAGGAAGAGGATGAGAGGTACGGACGATAGATGTTTGACAGGAAAGAAGGACCAAACCAGACCAAAACACCCGCCAATCACCCAAACAAGAGTTTCGTCGTGGAAATGAATGGCATGTGTAGGAGTTTTCAAACCATACGTCATAATGCAACTGTAGACAGTGCGCTCTTATCGACACTATTTCGGAAAAAAAACCCACACACGCACACCTAGTGACAAAGAATGTATACTACAAAGAGGATATAAAGTATGTATCGTCGGCAAACAGTCCAAATGTCCTATACTTAGGAACCAAAAGTTTTTGAGGCGAGAAAGAAAAAAAAATCAACGTTTTGTTTCATTTCCAAAATAGTACCAACGTTACGTTTCTTTTTTTTTTCTCAACATTTATAGTGTTAATTTTGACCAATTCTTTCACCAATCAGAATATAATAAATATGCAACCATTACTATTTCAAAATGTTGGGCCGACTGTATCGTTGATCAGGTGGGGAGGTTAGAAGGAGGGAGTAGAACAAGCAAGGGTTTTCGAACATTAGCTTGTATGTGTGCCTTTCTTAATCTTATCACATTTTCTGTGAAAATGAGTGAGTGCGAGAGAGAGAGAGAGAGAGAGAGAGAGAGAGAGAGAGAGAGAGAGAGAGAGAGAGGGAGAGAGAGAGGAAGAGAGACAGGGGGGGGGGGGGAGGAGACACATGTCATTATCATCGTACAAATGAAGAAGAAATTTATAGAGACGAGGCTAATCTATCGACGGAATGTTGAAAGACAGGGCCTAGGACACGGCACTCAAACGTACACGTCACGACATGACCTCAGTATTCTTGTTTATCTCGCAGTGTGTTCGACCATTTGCTCGTTTTTCTGTCTGACTGTTCGTTTGTTTGTTATGGAAAAAATAAAAGTACATTGACACAAGTAGAGTCACTGGGAGCAGGGAAAATATAGACAGACAGAAACAACAGAAGGGAATGCAAAGAAGTAGAACCTACAAGGGACACCCTCCAACCACCAGCATTTCTGTACGTAAAACCTGTGTTAGAAAAACAAATCAGAAAGTGTTAAAGTCTCAATGAAACAAAAAGTTATTAGCTCTTTTGCATCACTGTTAATCATGTGTTAGTAAGAAATTTACGGCACTTGCAACGCAATTAAGTCATAATATAAGTGGGAAGACTAGAGATGTTACAAAACAGCAAACATGAAAAAAGAAGGAGAAATAAGGACGATAGATGTTTGATAGGAAAGAGGAAGCAAACCACACCAGAGCACCGGCCAACCACCCACACTGTTAATCAGCACAAGAACGGCATAAAGTGTGAATAAGAAAGACAACGTTATAATCGGTGCATGGCATTGAAAGAGACAAACATGAAGAACAATACATTTATGGTACGTATGTGTATGTATGCGGCGTACATTCTCTATCTGTCATATCAGTGTGTCAGCCTAGTGTGAAGAACTACATGCGTCCCAGGAAGTTGAGATTGTTTCAGAAAAATGCTATCAGCTTTGCAGGGCTATTAATAATTAATTTAGATTGTAAAGCGCGTAGAGCTTGCTGTTGAGAGTGAATTGAGAGAAGCCCATAAGCTGCTACATCCACAAGTGGAAATAAAGCTTTTAAATGTTAAAAAATATGGCAAACTTTTCTCTGCCAGAACTAGTCTCACAGGTTATTGCGTAGAAATAACAGTCTTATTCTCTTTTTTTAAAGTTATGTTCTGTTTTGCTTGGGAAATATTCTCCATAACAGATACATAAGCCATCATTGTACACGCTGTTAGAAGAACTATTCATATATATCATCTCATTTTTATTTAAGTACATAATGTGTGTGTGTGTGTGTGTGTTTGTGTGTGTGTGTGTGTGTGTGTGTGTGTGTGTGTGTGTGTGTGTGTATATTTGAGTGTGTCATGACATGATGGAATCGGGCGCTCGTCAATTTTTGGGCACTTGGAGTTAAAGTGTTCTCACTTTTAATGAAAAAAAATACACACCTTTCGTGAATAGAAGTTGATTGAAGGAGGTGGGGGTCGTCTGTTGTTAGAGGTAAAGTTAGCAAGAAAATGGCGACAAAAGTTTGGTGACTTCCAGAATTGTAGAGTTCTTGGAAAGTGAAAATGTACATTTTTTTGTGCCTTTAATCAACGATTTTCAGTACAATCGACAAAGAAATGTGTTATTAAATAAAGGGACATAAAAGGCCAAAAAAGTTAAATTCAACAAAATAGCAAAACCAGCGAAAAAATGCCGGTCTCTTCTATTTCATTATTTTGACGAGCGCCTGATTTCACAAAGATGCCTCACATATAAGTCTGCTGAATTTGGTAAAACCAAGGCATGTTTTAGTTCTCTTATTGTTCCTTCATTTCGATATAATAAAATACACACAAAAAGTCTAGCTCTATCTACAGATAAATAATTTTAAACAATAAGACATAGGCATCTGTTTCATTTTGTTAGAGTTAGAGAGCACAACTTTATGTCTATATATAGCAAAAGCGTAACTGAAAACAGAAAAAGGAAAAAAAAACCCATTATGTGCACAAACTCACCTTCCACAGGTTGCTGCTGCTGCCCAGAGTCATAATCCCCGTCTTTCTCAAGTCCATTACCATCCTCCTCCTCCTCGCCAGTTTTTGTCTCCTTCTCTCCATCCCCCATATCTCCTCCTCCTCTGCCACCATCTCTCTCTCCATCATCATGGCCGCCTGCACCCTCTTCGTCACTCTCAAAGTCCACGTTGTCCAGGGCAGGAAACTGGCCCTGTGACCTTGGCGATGACGTCACTCCAGCAGTCCCAAAGAAGTCGTCCAGGTCCACAGAGGTCGCTGTCACCGCTTGGGGCGTGGGCGCCACACCGACTTCTGTTGAAAAAAAAATTGATCTTAATATAATGTGTTTTACGCCCCCATTGACACAATTTAGATCAATTAGGAAGCAGGCTTCTGATCCATCCTGTCATGTCCAACCTAGGCTGAGAAGGGTACATCATACCAGCTAAAAGAGCAAGATACTCAAATACTCAATATGAATTCTCCCCACATGAAAATAGAACTCAAGTCTTCGGCATGCAATGGCAAAGCGCTAAGCCGCTACACCACAGACGCTGGTTGGCACTTCTAGCACATGGGACATCCAGCGTCTCTTTTAAGGACGATAGATGTTTGATAGGTTTTCCGTTGTTTGTTTTAGACTGTTCGTTTTGAAGCTTATTCGTTAGGTCAGGTTTTTGGTTGTTTTTGGTTTGGTTTTTTGGCACTTGGTGTTGTTGTTGCAATACTTTTTGTGGCATGTGTTGTTTTATTCATCCTTGGTGTTCGAGGGAGGGAGGGGGGATTTTTTTTTTTTCTTGTTTGTTGTAGTTGGTTTGTTGGTTCCTTTTAGGGTTGGGATTTTCTAGTTACTGTTGTTTCGGGGGGTTTTTTTTTCATGTTTTCTTTTCGTTTTCTTTTTTTAAAAATTAGGGACGGGGTGCACATTTGTAAATGGTTTAGGATCCTACGACACAATTTAGATCCCATATAGATGAACTATTTTACAAAAGATTCAAACCAGGGTCATCTGGGCTATCAGAGACTATTAAAAGTGGTGTGGGCATTATCCATACGCTTATGAACATCCTTTCTGTGGGTTAGTAAATCAACAAACCTGTATCCTGTTTGATTTGAACCCCCCCC